GGGCGCCCTTGCAGCCACGATCTGGACTGTGGCGGGGGCGGGGGGGGAAGCCAGGGGCCCGCGCCGACCCGCAGAACGATAAAAAACAGCGACGTGCAGAGTCCACGGACACTTTCTTGGGACCCAGATCGTTCTCCGAGCACGTCTCGGGCGCTTGGGGCCTCTGGGGCCCCAGAACCTCCTCCTCCTCCTCCTCCTCCTGATCCTCCTCCTCCTCCTCCTCCTCCTCCGCCTCCTCCTCCTCCTCCTCCTCCTCCTCCTCCCTCCTCCTCTCCCTCCTCCTCCTCCTCCTCCTCCTCCTCCTCCTCCTCCCCCTCCCCCTCCCCCTCCCCCTCCCCCTTGAAACAGAGGCATCAGCACAAACTTTGAAAGCGCCGCGCGGATCACTCCGATATGCGCTGGACCCCCCCTTCCCTGCGCGCGGACCGCGCCAGGGGCGGCGCTGGTGGCACCGCCAAGAGACTCCAGCGCCGATCCAACCGGAGCTCCAAACATGGAATGCTGATTCACATTTTCGTGCCTCGACTGACTCCGGATCGGCGGATGTGGATACAATTCTCGGCGTGGGCTCCTGTCTTGGCCGCGTCCCACTCCGCCACCTCGGCCAAGGCGAGCCCCGCGAGCGAAGCGTCGCCCGCGGCGGACGGGAACCGGTACTTCAGGTACAGGCAGCTCGCGCTCACGCCGGCGCACATGACGTTGGGAGTGCTGATCGACAGAAGGGCAAGAAAGCCGGCCGCACACCACAGAGAGCAGAACATCCACCCTCGTGATAATCACCCTGACAAGCGGAGCCGTCAAGAAACGCACCCAAGGAAGAAATCGAACAGGGCAGGGCGTTTTTTGTAAACGCCCAGGGCCGTTTAGTGAACGCCAATTGTCGGGGGCGCGCAAACATGGATTAGCGATCCGTGAATTCGGCGCGCGGTCCCCAAATCCATGGATCGGGGGAGGCGCCCTCCCCAAAATGCGGCCGGCGACGCCTCGTTCGGCGGCGGAAGTCCGCGATTTCCTATGGAAACGGGAACCGTCGCTAATCCACGCCCCCTGAATCCATGTTTGCCATCGCCTGAAATTGTCGGGTCCGGGTGGGTTTTCCTGCCGAAAGAGCTGCGCTGGGCATCCCCGAGAGCGTGTGTGGAGGGAGGCAGAAAAACAGAAGCATGAGTTCTGAATCTGGGGGCAACTCGTTTGGGAGCCTCCCGCACCATCTTGTCGGCCCTTGCGAATCGACGCTCGTCGACGCGAAATCGACGCTCATCGAGGCTAGATCGACGCTCGCCGACGCTAAGCTGGGGCCACCTCATCGACTCCCAGACGCTAATCGTGGCGAGTCGACGCTAAAAAGAACTACTGAGGCTCCAAGGATTTGCGGAGGTCCGCGCGGGCCTCTTGCATCGGCGCCGGACCCTGTTCTCCTGCGCGCGGAGCGCGCCGGAGGCGGCAAGAGATGGGCCGCAATATGGGCCTCGGGCCGATCCGAGAAATTCGCGCTGACCTCCAAAGTTGTATGTTTGTGTTCTTCTCTGATCAGGTAATCTTGAACGAACACGATCTCATGCTCCAGCGAAGTACCACAAACGGTCTGAGCCAACTCCGAGTGACTGAGGTGCAACACGAAGAGGACACCGTGACTGCCAAACTCGCCCAGTTCGTTTTTCTTATTCGATCAATCTTGTTCACAAGGGGTGGATGGGGAAACAACCAGGTACCGATACCGCTACTCCCCGGACCTCTCCTGGGGTGCTTTCTGACCTGGATTTCAAAGCGAATCGAGCGGTGGCGGCGAGAGCCTCCCAAGAGGCCCTGAAAGTGGAAAACGAGGGAAGGGTAGGGGGGGTATGGCCCACCTCCGCGCCCTCGCGGCTCGGAAACTGGAGCGCGATCCCGCGGATGCGCGGTCGCATATCTACCTTCCGGGCGGAGCATCCGCGAAGCGAACGCCCCGTGTCCCTCGGGCCACGGCCCGGGGGCCCTGGCCCGCGAGGCCGTGGACCCACACATCCTCCGATATGATTGCTTGAATCCAAACAGTGGCGAAGCGTCTTGGCGTGCCTATAGGCCTACCAAACAATGTTGTAAGAACCCTGTGTGGTTTCCACGACATGTATTTAGAACGTTTCTGGCTGGGACGGTCGTGTTTTAACACATCGGGTTCATGCTCTAAGAACCGCGTTTTTTCCACGATTAAAACATTGCCTTCAAAGGAAATGTCGTGGTAGGTCTAAAGGAATGCCCGGACGGTCGGCCCCTGCTCAATTAATTCAAGCCCCGAAGACCCCCAACGTCATCTCGGCGGGCAATCTTGCGCACAAGATCCGTGTTTCATGGTCCTTTGGACCAGATGTGGCCCCCAGAAATTGGAATGACAAACCACTCCGCAATTGCAAGGATCAGTAAAAAACAACTTCTCAGGAAGGGTCGGAGAATCGCGCCGCATCGGCGATGCATAGTACCAGCGATGCAATGGCGATGCACCGGCGACGTCGGCGATGCATCGGCGCCGTCGGCAGGGATAACCTCGGGCTCCACATCGAGGTGCATCGTCGATGCATCGTCGAAGCGGAAATATCATTCGCCCCTATCTGCTCCGTCCCCACTTTGGAGGACTAGAATCATATGGTTGGAAATCTGTGGATATGGATATGCATCCCGCCCGGGACTCGTGCCGCTTTCTCGCCTTCCGTGTGAGCGGGTCCGACAGGATCCAGCCGCAGACGCACCACGCCAGCGAGCTCAGAAAATTGGCGAGCACGAGGGCCCCCGGGATGACGCGGCTGTCCCTGTCTCGGAACACCTGGTGGGTTCCAGAATTGTTTTGTCCTGCGAGGCTACCTCAGAAGTGCCTGAAACTTGTGCCGCTCTAAACTGTAGCACTCGCATAGAAAGTTTGGCCATCAGTCTTTGCGACTGATACCTGAGCGACATGTGGCCTTCAGCCTCGGTGACAAATCTAGCAACGAGGTGTGGCCGTCAGCCTGCGGCCCTGCATGTCATGAACAATGCGTGTTGGTTGCTACACTCTTGTAACGCATGCCGTGAACTTCACAAGCCCAAAAGTCCGCTGACCCCCACTTGCCGGGGGTGGGAAGGCGCGTGAGATATTTAGCTGTCCCCTTCCCCATCCCTTCCCCTCCCCCTCAGAAACCTCCCGACGACCCAGTGGGTGCCAGAAACCCGGAAATCCGCCGATCCGGCGCGTGAGTTTCAAAGACCCGCAAAAAAGCCTGAACGTCAATTCCTGAACTTCACCTCTACTGGGGGGTGGGTGCCGGGGTGGCTCTGCCGGGGTAGGGGGGGGGGGAAGCGATTCGATTAACTCCCGGGGCGAAGTCGGAACTCCAGCTCACTCCCGCACGGCTCCCTCGCCCAGGAGAGACCCAGAATGGGCCAAGAGAGCCCCGAGTCGCCGAACGATCACTACAATGCGCCCGAAATGTCCCCAAGACGGCTCCAGAAGTCTCCAAAATGCCCTCAGAAGCCCTGAACAGACTTCCGAACAAAAAAATCTCACCGAAGCAACAGCGTGCAAGTTTAGCACATTCGCTCATTGGGCCTTCTGAGCGTCGTAGACGCCCCAAGAGAATCCAAAAACTGCCGAACAAACCGCCAAGAGGGCTCCAGGGCGGCCCAAAAAGGGCCCAAGCTGGCCCAGGCGGCCCCCGAAAAAAGGCACAAGACGGCCCCAGGACGGGCCCAGGAGGCGTCTGAGAGGGCGTCAGGACGGCGGAAAAAGTGCCGAAGACGGCCCAAGAAACCCCCGGCAGGCCCCCAGAGGCCCCCATGAGGCCCGAAGATGCCCCAAGCCGCCTCCAACTGGCCCCGAAGTGGCGCCCTCAAGCCCCCTTTTTTATGGGCCTCCGAGAATCTCAGAACATGCGCCTAAACGCATTCTAGAGGCCCCCAGGCTGCATCCAAGATCCCCCCGAGAAGCCCAGAACCGGCCCCAACGCTTCCACGACGCTCACCTCTGAACACAAGCGCTGCAATACAAAAGGCTCTTCCACGGTTTCATACGTGTCCAGCTTTCGGTGTCCTTCACATCCATGGTCTCAAAAGGGCCCGCGGGGGGCCGCGCGAAGGCCCCAAAGACCCCAAAATCAATGGTCCCCAGCAGAGATTGGTGACGCACAACGATCCACGAATAACTGTGACGCAGACAGCTCTAGCACGAAGCTTTCCAGGTAGCGCGCCAAATCGACGAGGTGTCAACTCAAAGAGGGCCAACACCTGGCCCCAACGAGGCTTTCCAACAACCGCCGGGCATTTCCAACAACCGCCGAAAATCTCCTCATCCTCGTCATGCTCCTCTTTTTCCCCTCCCCCTTTTCCACTTCACGCTTCCCCCTGCTCCTCCTCGCCCTCAACATCCTGCTTGTCCTGCCCCTCCCCCCCTCCGCCCGCGCCCACCTCATCATGATCCACATCCTCCTCCTCATCATCCTATTCCGTCGCCTCCCTTCCCAATCCTCATCATCCTCACCGCACGCCGTCGTCGCCGGTCATGACTGCCATCGTGCGCTTCCGGCAGCAACAGAAGCGTCCCCGATCGGCGGCACTGACTGGATGCCACTACAACAATGAGTATAGCAAGCAACGCACCTGTGTGGGACACAAAAGGACATGCTACTACTATGAGTTTCTATTTGAGGCGCACGCCACATACGAACATATAGCACGGAATATGGTTGTCCATCGTTACCCGAACGGTATGGCGAGAACGCGCCCGCCACGGAACGCATATCATGCACTACACGATGCCTGAGGGTGCGTGTCGTCCTAGTGGGACCGACGCACACATAGCTTAAGACTGTGTGGGCTAAACCCCTTTCACACGACGCAAACAACATCCTACGCATAACATTTGCGGACAGGCTGTTCAAACAAATGCTTTACCTCTGAGGGCCCCCGCCGGCATATGCGTCAGCTGTTCGACCCCCCGACGTGAAGGGGAACGTCGGAGGGGACCTGCTCAGGGGACAAATCGCCGATGGATCGGCGATAGGCCCCCGATTGCAGATTCGCATGTTCCTGGGCGGCGTGGGCTATCAGGCCCTTATCGGCGATCAACGGGCGATCGGGGGCCGATGTATCCCGACAAATGAACAGGGACCGACTGTCCAAGCACCCCTATTGTCTTACCACAACATGCTTGTTCTAAAAAAATACGAACAAGAACGATATGCATTCAAACGAGACTGTCTCAGCCATATGTTCTAAGGAAAGTTTGCGCCAACCACAAACGGCATATCTGGTGGGCCTATCGCGACCCAGGGCGCTCCGTCACAGCTTGGCCCAACATGATCCCTGACGACGGCGGGGCCCTTTCGGAAGCGCCCCTCCTGGGGCAGGCTGGTCAGCATGGAGCAGGCCCCGATGAAGCTGCAGAAGGAGGAGACGAACCCCGTGAGGAAGAGGGCGCGCTCCGCAGGCAGGGCCAGGAGCGCGCAGGCCTGGAGGAAGCACAGCACGGCGACCGCGCTGAGGTACCGGAGCAGGCTCTGCTGCGACCGCTGGTTCCAGCAGTGGCGGTAGAAGGTAGCGATGTAGTACGTGCCCAGGAGCGCTCCTAAACAGTTCGAGTGCACCAGGATCCGCCAGCCCTCGTGGTGGGCCCCCCAGGGACCTCAGGATAGCCCAGATTGGAGGAAGAAGCAGGGCCACACACAAAAACTTTTGGCGCTCCGCGCGGATTCTTGGATCTGCGCTGGACCCCCCCCCCCCTGACGCGCGGAGCGCGCCAGGGGCGGCGCGCTGGAGGCGCCGCCAGGGGGGGGCCGGCGCGGATCCAAGATATCCGCGCGGAGCGCCAAAAGTGTATGTTTATGGCGTTCTCGCTTCTTCGAAAAATGGCCCCCGACACGCCCGGCTGTGGTCCCCGAGGCCTCGGGATGCCCCAGGGAGGCATTAATGGTACAAGGTTGCGCCAAGCTCGTCCTGCTGTGGTCGCGAAGCGGCTCCGTCTGGCGGAGCGCCAGCACAGGCTCGGTCCGCCGCCGCCTGCGATTTTGATACAGGGAGGGCCTGGCCCACCCGACTCTCCTCCTCCCTCCTCCTCCTCCTCCCTCCCCCTACCTCCTCCTCTCTCCTCCTCCTCCTCATCCTCCCCTCCTCCCTCCCTCCTCCTCCTCCTCCTCCAGGGGGGGGGGCCTGGCCCGCTCGACTCTCTGGACGTGCGGCCCTCCTGCCACCGCAGGGAGGCACGCCGAGGGCGCCACGCGTGGCCGCTCCCCTGGCCACGGCGAGCCCCGCGGCCACGGGCCGGCGCTCGCCCCGACCTGGACGGCGAGGGCGAGCCCCGAGCAGGGACCGACCGTCCCGACATTCCTGTGGGCCTACCACGACATGTCCTCAGCATTTTGAAAACACAGGATGCTCAATACATGCTTCACTTATGCATGCACTTATGCATGAGCTCATCGTTGCTGTTAGTACAAAGTCCCTGCATGTTTTAATGCATGTTCCGCACGCGGAGCATGTATTAAAAACGGCACTGCATGGGCCTACCACGACATGTGCTCAGAAGCCAAGAATGGCAAGGATGGCAAGGGCGAGCCCCGACCCGGACCCGACCCGGATGGCGAGGATGGCTCTCTCCCCGACCCGGACGGCGAGGGCGAGACCCGAGCTCGAGCAGGGACCGACCGCCCCGGCATTCCTAGAGGACAGTTTTTTACACATAGGATTTTGAAATATATGAGAGTTGTCAACCATGATTCATTGATGAAGGAATGTATGCATGAGCTCATCGTTGTTTCTAGTACTAAATCCCTGCATGTTGAACGCATGATCCGCACGCAGAGCATGTATAAAAAACGGCACTGCATGGGCCTACCACGAAATGTTCTTAGAAGTCTTATCACACAGACAATGTTCCTTGAGCATGAACCCGATGCGTGGAAACAAGACGGTTCCAGCCAGCAAATGCTCTAAGAACATGTCGTTGAAACCACACAGGGTTCTCAGAACATTCTTTGCTAGGCCTAGAGGCGAGCCAGGACGCTTCGCCACTGCTTGATAAACCAGAGCTCCATCCTCCACCGCACGTGGTCTTTGTCTCAGCGTCTTGCTGTTTTCACGTGGCAATTTCAAAGTGAAAGCAAGCACCGTGACTGCGGTGAGACTGCTTCCGCCCGTGGGGCTCGTCGGCACGACAAAGAGCCGCAGATGGAAGCAGTGTGAGAGCGAGATTCGGGGATGGACAGACCTCCCTTTAGCAAAACGTGGTTTAGTGAAAACGGCTTCGGGCCCAAACCTGGCGGGCGCAAGCCTGGAGAACAACGGCCGCGGCGCCCTCTGAAGAACCAACAACGGACAATTCACTAATCGACGTGTCAGGGTGTGAGGTCTATTATCCACCTCCGAGAGATGTAATCAGGATGCGGTGGCAAGCACATCCGGCTCCGCGTGTCCCTGTGACACCATGCCCGCCCAACGCCAGGTCTTGACCCAGATTCTTGCCCGAGGGATCGAGGGTCCCGGCGTCTGGACGTGCCTGGCCACGTCTTGATGGGCGTCGGGAGGCCTCTGGAGGGCCTCGGGGAGGCCTCTGGAGACCTCAGCGTGGAGACTCCCATGGGGGCCTCCGGGGAGGCAGGAGGGGAGGTGAGGAGGAGAGGGGAGAGGGGGCGGTCCTTATCTCAATTGACTGTGTTCTTGGCCCTTCCAAAAGATTCCCACGAGCCCTTCTCCCTCTGCCGCAGCAGCACGGTGCCGACCCCCCAAAACGGTCAGGGCAGCCTTCAGACCAGCACAAAAACCTTGAATTCTCGTTCTGGGTGCATTCATAGACTCGTGCGTCGATGCTGCGTCGAACGTCCGTCGACTTCAGTTGGTCGAGCTAGGAGTCGAACTCGACCCGAACTAAAGGCGAACACATCCGTCGGCTCACCCCAGGACGGTTGCCAAAACGAGCATCTGACAAGACGCTCTAGCATTGCCCCCGCAACGCGTCCAGCCAACATGCCCTCAACATGAGCCCACCAGGGGGGCGGGGAGGCGCACATGGAGAAGATGCAGGCGGAGGATGAGGAGGAGGGAAGCAGTATGGGGGAGGGCGATGATGAGGAGATGAGGAGGTGGAGGAGGAGGAGGAATAGGAGGAGGATAAATAGGAGGAGGGGGAGAGGGCAGAGCAGAGGGCGAGAAGAGAGAATCCGCCAGGGAGAGGAGGAAAGAGCCCACCAGGAGGGTCCAAGGAGGCGCGGTTCGCCCCGCCCTGGAGGCGCTCGGGGCCGGCCCGGAGCCCCCCGAGGCGGCTCCCAGACGGCCCCCCAAGGGGGCCCTACGCGAAGACCCAGGCCTGCCAGATGTAGCCCCAGTGCCAGCCCGACGCTTCCCCCAGGAGGGCCCCAGCTGGCTCGACGATGGCCACAAGCTGGCTCGACCATGTCCACGATACAACTCCGAGACGGAATCAGAGAGTTCTTCCTCTTCGAACGCGCAACTGACTTGTGCATCGATTATCGGGTTGACGGCACTCATGCGGATCCCACCCATGGCACCGTTCCTCCAATCGTCGAGGCCACAAATGCAGGAACAGGCCGTCAATTACTATGGCATTGCACTTCGCTTCTAGTCTGTGCCTCTGCTGATGCATCTATGCACACAGACACACACATATATATATATATATATATACAAGACTGCATTGGCGCTGCGCGCCATGCACCTTGGACCTCTGAGTTCTGCACGCAAGCGGAATGCGTGCGTGCGTACATGCGCGCATGAATGTATACACGCGCACGCGCATGCATGTTCTGTTAAAATGTCTGGGTGCATACACTATACTAACATTGTTGTATGTGTACACAGCGTACACATGTACATATAAGTGTATGTGTGTAAGTGTATGAACATGCATATGCAACTCGTACGGGGCATCCTCGGGTATTTTCGCAACATGCCACGAGACCCTCAACGACTGGGTCACAATGTGAAATGTCATGGGAGCAAAATCCATGAATGTTGGCATTCGGAAACGTCGTTGGGGTGTTTTCGGGGCCGTCGTGGGCCGTTTTGGCGCCTTCATGGGCCGCCCTGGGGTCTTCTTGGGCCGTCTTGGAGGGCTTGGGCCCGCTGGAGCCCCCTTTGGAACCATCTTGGGCACTTCCGGGGACCTCCCATGGCCCTTTTGGGTCTGTGCTGGGAGCCCTTGGGGGGCCTCTTGGTTCCATTATGGGCTGTCTTGGGGCTCTCGTGGGCGATCGTGGGGCCCGGCTCGGCCGTCTTGAAGCTTTCTTGGGGGCCTTTTGGGGCGTCTGGAGGCGATCTCGGGGGCTTTGAAACCGTCTTGAAAGCTGATGAAATCCGAAAGGCGAATATGCTAAAATTGTAAGTTTTACAAAGGGAATGGGGCGATTTTTGTGCTTTGAAGGCCCCTTGGAAAGCTTTTGGGGTGCCTTGGGGGTCTTTATGTTGGCATTCGGAAACATCGTGGGGGTGTTTTCGGGGCCCTCGTGGGCCGTTTTGGCGCCTTCATGGGCCGTCCTGGGGCCTTCTTGGGCCGTCTTGGGGAGCTTGGGCCCGCTGGAGCCCCCTTTGGACCCATCTTGGGCACTTCCGGGGACCTCCCATGGCCCTTTTGGGTCTGTGCTGGGAGCCCTTGGGGGGCCTCTTGGTTCCATTATGGGCTGTCTTGGGGCTCTCGTGGGCGATCGTGGGGCCCGGCTCGGCCGTCTTGAAGCTTTCTTGGGGGCCTTTTGGGGCGTCTTGAGGCGATCTCGGGGGCTTTGAAACCGTCTTGAAAGCTGATGAAATCCGAAAAGCGAATATGCTAAAATTGTGAGTTTTACAAAGGGAATGGGGCGATTTTTGTGTTTGGAAGGCCCCTTGGAAAGCTTTTTGGGGTGCCTTGGGGGTCTTTATGTTGGCATTCGGAAACATAGTGGGGGTGTTTTCGGGGCCCTCGTGGGCCGTTTTGGCGCTTTCATGGGCCGTCCTGGGGCCTTCTTGGGCCGTCTTGGGGAGCTTGGGCCCGCTGGAGCCCCCTTTGGACCCATCTTGGGCACTTCCGGGGACCTCCCATGGCCCTTTTGGGTCTGTGCTGGGAGCCCTTGGGGGGCCTCTTGGTTCCATTATGGGCTGTCTTGGGGCTCTCGTGGGCGATCGTGGGGCCCGGCTCGGCCGTCTTCAAACTTTCTTGGGGGCCTTTTGGGGCGTCTTGAGGCGATCTCGGGGGCTTTGAAGCCGTCTTGAAAGCTGATGAAATCCGAAAAGCGAATATGCTAAAATTGTAAGATGTACGAAGGGAATGGGACGATTTTTGTGCTTTGAAGGCCCCTTGGAAAGCTTTTTGGGGTGCCTTGGGGGTCTTTTGGGCCGTCCTGACGCAATTGGAGTCCCTCTTGGAGCGCTCTTGTGCTGTCTGGGGCCTCCCTTGGGCCTTTCTGATGATTCCTCGGATCGTAAGGCGTTTGTGGAGACCCGGAAAGCCGTGTGACCTTTTCCAAGGAGGTCCAAGGGAGCCCGAGAACCCCCCATCCTGGGGGTCCAGCTTTGGGGGGGGGGATGGTTTCCCCCCCCCCCCGGGCTTGTAAAAATATAGGAAGAGGAATATGTGTATCTGCACATACATATAGACGATACACATACATATACTATGCCCCGCCACGCTCAAAGACTCCACAGTATTTCAATACTCCTGTCAGCAGGCTTGTCCAGACGGTCGGGCGCGGCGGTGACTCGCCCCGCAGGCGTCTTCGATCAGAAACCCTGCTTGCCCCGTCAGGTGCCAGGCAAAGAAGCCGTAGTAGCACCACTGCCAACCTCCAAAAGCGATCGACAAATACGGGGCCGCGTCTGCCTCGCCCGTGGCGCGGCGCCGCTCCCAGAGCTTCACCTCCGAGTAAGGGCTCAGCTGCACCAAGATGTTACCGGCCAGGCACATCGCCTTCACGACTGCCGCGTAGGTGAGGCCCGTGAGCAGGTGCACGAGCCAGGAACGAGTGCCTGCGCAGTCCGAGGAGGAGGGGCGCGGGAGGGAGGAAAGCGCGAGACGGAGGAGCAGGACCAGCACATGGGGGACGAGAGGATGAGGATGGTCAGGGGAACACAACATGACATCAACATAAAAAATCGGAGGTCCGCGCGGATTTCTCGGATCGGCGCTGGACCCCCCTCGCTGGCGCGCGGAGCACGCCAGGGGCGGCGCGGGAGGCGCCGCCGGGGGGCCCCAGCGCCGATCCGAGAAATCCGCGCGGACCTCCGAGTTGTTATGTTCATGCCACTTTTTGTTCCCCATAATGGTGCTGGCGAGAGGCCAGGAGAGAGGGCGGGAGGGCGCGGAGGCCTGCGAGCCCCTGCAGGTGCAGACTGCCCAGCCACTCGGTGCCCTGCGAGGGGGACGACGGACGAGGCTGCAAGGGCAATGACGCACGTCTTCCGCCGCGGGGGGGGGTGGGGGGGGGGGCGCTCTCCCAAGCTGAGAGCAAGGAGGAGGAGGAGGAGGAGGAGGAGGAGGAGGAGGAGGAGAAAGAGGAGGAGGAGGAGAGGAGGAGGAGGAGGAGAGGAGGAGGAGGAGGGGAAGGGGGGAGGGGGAGGAGAGGAGGAGGGAGGAGGAGGGGAGGAGGGGAGGAGGAGGAGGAGGAGGAGGAGGAGGGGAGGAGGAGGAGGAGGAGGAGGAGGAGGAGGAGGAGGAGGAGGAGGAGGAGGAGGAGGAGGGGGAGGAGGGAGGAGAGGAGGAGAGGAGGAGGAGATGAGGGGAGGAGGAGGAATGAGGAGGAGGAGGAGGAGGAGGAGAAGGATAGGGAGGAGGAGAGGAGGAGGAGGAGAGGAGGAGGGAGGAGGAGGGAGAGGAGGAAGATGGGGATCTGGAGTAGAGGGAGGGGGGAGGAAGAGGAGAGGATGGAAGGGGGAGGAGGCGGAGGAGGAGGAGGAGGGGGCAGGAGGAGGAGGAGGAGGAGGAGGAGGAGGAGGAGGAGGAGGAGGAGGAGGAGGAGGAGGGGCCCATACACATCCGACGTCGTGTATTTGTTCACGACGTGGCTTCCCAGACCCATGAAGCCATTCTTGGGGACCGTCCTTCCTTCCCGAATCGCGCTCCGACGGTCCCCAGGTCCTGGCGAGGGCCTCCAGGGGCCGAACCCTGCCGAGAACACGTGTAACATCGCCCGTCGTGTTTTTCCACAGCGCGGCTCCCCAGAGGCCTCTCTGGGATCTGCAAACCCGGGTCAATCAGGCCCGGGTCAGCAGGAAGCCCAAAACTGCAGTGCAAAACAAAAAAAACTGCAACGCAGGGCTTCGCAAACCCAAGTCAGCCGCCAATCTGCGCGGCCGCTCCGCGGCCACGAGCAGCTCGCTAGTCTCTTGAGCGCCGAGCCTCGAGCCGCTCCCAAGGACCGGCCTCCCCTCCCGAGCCGTGTGCTGGACAGCGCCGCGGCCAGACCACGCGACTTCGCACCACGGATCCCGACGCCTCCGCACGGTGCGCACACCCCAGGCCGCGAGGCACGAGGCGCGGTCCTGCTCTACTCAGCTCCCCGGCGGATGGCCCTGTTGAGAAGCCCTGGCGACGATCCTCCTACCCCTCTTTTTGGGTCACCCAAAATAGGGTTCCAGCTGAAAGGGGGTGGTGCAATAGATTTGGGACAATTGGATTGCAAGTGATGTTTTGCACGCGAAATTCCAGCATTACATTTGCGCCCCAGAATGTATTGCACGCCCCAAATGTATTGCAACCCCACAAATCGATTGCACCAAATTTATTGAAGCACCCCCTTGTCGCTGGAACCCATTTTGGGTCAACCCGAAAGAAACCCCGGCGACGATCCTCCTACCTCACCTGCTCGGACCCGTCCGGGGGCAGATGGGGAAATTAAAAAAACGGATACCGCTACTCCCTGGGCCTCTCCCATGGGTGCGTTCTGACCAGGATTTCGAAGTGAATCCAGTGATGGGATGGCGACGAGGGCCTGCCAGGAGGCCCAAACATGCGACGACGAGAGGAGGGTATACTGGTCCGGGCACTTCTTCCTCCTCTGAGCCTCGATCTTCTTGCCATCGCTCGGACGTCCACTCCCCGAGCATGTTTCGACTTCGTGCGCGTTTTTTTTGTTGCCAGACGATTCAGGATGCTCCTCGATGCTCCTCGCCGCGGAGAGAAGTGCACGCGCCCGAGCGATGCCACGTCTTCGGCCGACGCTGCTCGACCCCGCCGAGCCGCGGCCGGCACGGGCGGCCCTCCAACCGCGGGCCCGGCGTCGCCAACGCGTGCCTTAGAAGAAACAAGAACGGCACAAACACAAACTTCCGACGGTACGCGCGGATTTATTGCTAGGGCTCCCAACTTCGCGCTTCGCGCTGCGCGAAGCGCGAATAACTTCGCGCTCTCGCGCCGCCCTCCCAAAGGGAGAATAGGAGGACGAGGAGGAGGGGGAGAAGGAACGAGGACCGCGAAGCGCGAATAACTTCGCGCCCTCGAGGGAGCCCTTGTATTGGATCTGCGCCAGACCCCCCTTCCTGGCGCGCGGAGCGCGCCAGGGACGGCGCCAGAGGCGCCGCCAGGGCGCTCCAGCGCCGATCCAAGAGAAAACCGCGCGGAGCGTCGAAAGTCTATGCCTATGCCTTGTTTTCGGGCGTGGCCCGAATTTGTTTTTTTCGCGAGGTAAACTGAACTGAACTGGACTCAACTGACTGGTCGCAGCTATTACGCGACGGTTGCATTCAGGGGCCGCCGAGGGCGCAACCTGTGGCGCAGCCGATAGGAGACGGTTGCATTCTCGGCCGCCGAGGGCGCAACCTGTGGCGCAACCGATGGGAGACGGTTGCATTCTCGGCAGCCAAGGGCGCAATCTTTGGCGCGACCGATAGGAGATGGTTGTATTCTCGGCCGCCGAGGGCGCAACCTGTGGCGCAACCGATAGGAGACGGTTGTATTCTCGGCCGCCGAGGGCGCAACCTGTGGCGCGACCGATAGGAGACGGTTGCATTCTCGGCCGCCGAGGGCGCAGTCTTTGGCGCGACCGATAGGAGACGGTTGTATTCTCGACAGCCAAGGGCGCAATCTTTGGCGCGACCGATAGGAGACGGTTGCATTCTCGGCAGCCAAGGGCGCAGTCTTTGGCGCGACCGATAGGAGACGGTTGTATTTTCGGCCGTCGAGGGCGCAACCTGTGGCGCGACCGATAGGAGACGGTTGTATTCTCGGCCGCCGAGGGCGCAACCTCTGGCACAACCGATAGGAGACGGTTGTATTCTCGGCCGCCGAGAGCGCAATCTTTGGCGCGACCGTTAAGAGACGGCTGTATTCTGGGCCGCCCAGGGCGCAACCTATGGCGCGACCGATAGGAGACGGTTGTATTCTCGGCCGCCGAGGGCGCAGCCTGTGGCGCAATCGATAGGAGACGGTTGTATTTTCGGTCGCCGAGGGCGCAACCTGCGGCGCAACCGAAAGGGGACGGTTGTAACCCAGTGCCCTGGATCATACATCATCCCCCCTTAACCTCCTCTAGCATTCTCCCCGTGTCAATAGTAATTAAGTGTGGAGAGGACGCGGAGGCCGAACTTGAAAATCCCTGGGGGAAGTTGCACATCGAAGTGGCTATCATCTCATGTTGGCTAGCAACAGCATCAAAAACGCTGAGCATGGCAACGAAGGTCTCACCATTTCAGCTTCCGCAATCACGAGCGTGTGACAGAGCTATGGGGTTCTCACCATTTCAGTTTTCCCAAGTCACGAGCGTGCGGCAAGGCCATGGGATTCTCACTTTCCCAGCCGTTCCCGAGGCAAAGTGTAGCCACGAGCCTCGAGATTTCTCGAGTCAGTCTTGCGCCAAGATCTACAAGGTCAGGTTACACGAGCGCCCAGGATCATCATCATCATCATCATCATCATCATCATCATCATCATCATCATCATCATCATCATCCTCATCCTCATCCTCATCCTCATCCTCATCCTCATCCTCATCCTCATCCTCATCCTCATCATCATCATCATCATCATCATCATCATCATCATCACTACCATCATCATCATCATCATCATCATCATCATCATCATCATCATCATCATCATCATCATCATCATCATCATCATCATCATCATCAACATCACCATCATCATCGTCATCATCATCATCATAACATCACCTTCGCCGGGAAAATCATTGGTTAACTATCCCCGCCAGACCCCCGAACTTTATTATCTCCCGGGGATTCTTATCTGGGGCAGTGGCTTATTCTCGGCCGCCGAGGGCGCAATCCATGGCGCAACCTAGGGCAAAACCCATGGCCTCTGCCGCCGACCCCAGAGAAAACCGCAAGCGGTTTAGCGAGGACGTCGAGAGGATGAGCAGGAGGAGGAAGAGGAGAAATGATGACGATGTCCTAGACGAAGACGACGAGGAGCTGGAGCAGGAGGAAGACGAGGAAGACGACGAAGACAATGAGGAGGACGAGGAGGAGGAGGACGACGGCGATCAGGATGGGGAGGAGGCCGGGAAGGAACACGAGCAGCACGAGGCCGAAATTGTGGGCACTCGAGTGCATGCGGGGCTACGCCTGGCTTGTGCTCGCCGTTTGGGCTGGCGGCGGGGCCCAAGCGGCGAGCTGTCCTGCGACTTCCTCTTCTGAAGGGGCCCTGGGACACACAAATGAATACACACAAATCGCAGGATTTCCCATATTTCCAATGTTTTCTGGGTCTGTGTCCCCCCCCCACCTTCCAAATTTCCTCATACTTTTTCTGGAGAATCGACGATGAATTGTGTCTGTGCACTTTTTTCCCCCTCCCGATCTGCGATGCCTCTGGCGCGGCGGCGGCCGCCGCCGCGGGCGCCCCGCCCGCGGGCCCGCCCGCGCCGGACGCCTGCGGGGCCCGGGCGGGCGCCGCCGCTGCGCCCGCCACGGCCAGCAGCGCGGCGGGCGCCGGCGGCGCGGCGGCGGCCGGCGGCGGCGGCGGCGCCGCGGGAGGCGCCGGCGGCGCCGCCGGGGGCGGCGCCGCGGGCGGCAGCGCCGAGGGCGGCGCCGCGGGCGGCGCCGCAGGCAAGGCGCCTCTCGGGGCGCACAAGGGGCGCCGCTGCACGGGCCAGGGGGGCGCGATGCAGCCAACCCGCGTACAGGGCAGTTTCTAATACATAGGATTTTTCTAAAACATATAAGATTTGTAATACATGCTTAATGTATGCATACATCTATGCGTGAACCCATCGTTGTTTGAATACGAAATCCCTGCATTTTTCATACATGACCCGCACGCGGAGCATGTATATAAAAAAAACGGCACTGCAGGAGGATGGGCAACTTTCCCCAAGAGTTGGCCCTGCATCCTTGCCTCCTCGGTCCAGCCTCCGCCATTTTCGGTGGCCGCGCCCCGCTCGGAAAGCCTCGAAGTGGCCTTCCAAGGCCCTTGCGTCCTCATCGTGCATCCTTCTGCTACGGGTCGACTGTAAATGGGCGACGAAAACAAGCGGGCCTTGCGTGAGATGGCAAATGATGAGGGGGTTCCCCCAACGATGATCACCCCGATGCGGCGGCGACGGGTCCGTCGGGGACAGATGCGCAAAAACGATCTGTCCGCCGCACGGAACTATTGAAAAATTATTGTAAAATGTTGTGCGATGTGCGATGGGCGCGCCGTGGACAGTGAAGTTCAACCATGTGTGGCGCGCAATTTTTTCGGTGCGACGGCGACGGCGGGTGGCCAGACAGATGCACAGTACGTAACCAAGCACGTTCGCCGACGGTGCGACAACGACCGGCGAGGCTGCGACAGATAGACAGTTCGTTTGTTTCCGGAGAACTCCTAAGATAGACTGTGGGAAGGATGGGGAAGCCATTCTGCTTCACCCTTGGTGCCTTTGCAGGGCCGCTTGGGGCCGTTTCGCCTGAGACGTCGTCGCAACATGGAGACGTCGGCCCGAGAAAAGCCAACGTGGCCTTCACCATGCACACACATCTCTGCAGCGCACGCAATGGCCAAAACACAATATAAAAATCCCACCAGCCCTTTGGGCGTGAGTGGTTTAAAGAGCCCTCTCTGTCCTCAACCCCCTTCTTCCCCTTGGGGGAGGGGTTTACCCCTCCCCCTACCCCCTCCCCCTGGGCCTGGAAGGGGCGTTTCGCGGGTCGTGGGTCACCGAAGATGGCCTAAGATGGCGCCAAGAGGGCCCAAGAGAGCTCAAGGTGACCTCCAAGATCGCTCAAGATAGCCCTCGATGACTCAATATAGCTCCCAACATGCGTACAAGACGCTCCAAGACCGCCCCAAGACGGCTCCACGTGGTCACGGGGCTCCCGATGCATCGTGTAATTGTTTTATACCATCGGAGGCCATGTTAAGTTCAAAACTCAATGGTCAAAACCCAATGTAAATATTCACTATCTGGGCCCAAGAGGCTGCCACATAAGCGTGGAATATATACAACCAATACAATATGCGAGGCGCGCGCGCGCTGGTGACCCGCGCGGGGCCGGGTCACCCGCGCGCGCGATGCATCCTGTATTGGTTTTATTCCATCGGAGGCCATGTTAAGGTGAAAACTCAATTGTCGAAACCCAATGTAAAAATTCATTCTCTGGGCCCAAGAGGCGGCCATATAAATGTGGAAAATATACAAACCAATACAATATGCGAAGCGCGCGGGCGCGCTGGTGACCCGCGCGGTGCCGGGTCACCCGCGCGCGCGCGCGATGCCTCCTGTATTGGTTTTATACAATCGGAGGCCATGTTAAGTTGAAAACTCAATGATCAAAACCCAATGTAAATATTCATTCTCTGGGCCCAAGAGGCGGCCATGCCAACGTCAAATATAGAAAACACAATACAATATGCGAGGCGCGCGGGCGCGCTGGTGACCCGCGCGGTGCCGGGTCACCCGCGCGCGTGCGCGATGCCTCCTGTATTGGTTTTATACAATCGGAGGCCATGTTAATATGAAAACTCAATGATCAAAACCCAATGTAAATATTCATTCTCTGGGCCCAAGAGGCGGCCATGCCCACGTCAAATATAGAAAACACAATACAATGGGCGAGGCGAGCGCGGGCGCGCTGGTGACCCGCGCGGGGCCGGGTCATCCGCGCGCGCGCGCGCGATGCATCCTGTATTGGTTTTATACAATCGGAGGCCATGTTAAGGTGAAAACTCAATTGTCCAAACCCAATGTAAAAATTCATTCTCTGGGCCCAAGAGGCGGCCATATAAATGTGGGAAATATACAAACCAATACAATATGCGAAGCGCGCGGGCGCGCTGGTGACCCGCGCGGTGCCGGGTCACCCGCGCGCGCGCGCGATGCCTCCTGTATTGGTTTTATACAATCGGAGGCCATGTTAAGTTGAAAACTCAATGATCAAAACCCAATGTAAATATTCATTCTCTGGGCCCAAGAGGCGGCCATGCCAACGTCAAATATAGAAAACACAATACAATATGCGAGGCGCGCGGGCGCGCTGGTGACCCGCGCGGTGCCGGGTCACCCGCACGCGCGCGCGATGCCTCCTGTATTGGTTTTATACAATCGGAGGCCATGTTAATATGAAAACTCAATGATCAAAACCCAATGTAAATATTCATTCTCTGGGCCCAAGAGGCGGCCATGCCAACGTCAAATATAGAAAACACAATACAATATGCGAGGCGAGCGCGGGCGCGCTGGTGACCCGCGCGGGGCCGGGTCACCCGCGCGCGCGCGCGATGCATCCTGTATTGGTTTTAGACAATCGGAGGCCATGTTAAGTTGAAAACTCAATGATCAAACCCCAATGTAAATATTCACTCTCGAGGCCCAAGAGGCGGCCATGTAAACCTTGGCAGGTCTTAGCAGCATTTCCATTCCCCTCCGTTTGGGTAACTGGAAGAAATGGGCCGCCACCAATGGATAGACGCCCCCCGCCAGTCAAGCCGCGCCGAGGGTGCGACGGCGCCCGGGGGATGGGCAGATAGACGGACAGAAGATGCGCAGACGTATCGGTGCGACGGCGCCTGGGGGGATAGATGTAGATACATGGATACGCCGCGCCAGCCAAGCACAGCCGACGGTGCGGCGGCGAACGGTTTTTGAATATTGACCAGAACGGAGATCAATACAGGGGGAACCCCCTTATGGCAAATGAACCTCACGCGAGGGCTTACGCGGGCCGTCGGCGCGGCACGCGAGGCTGGAGACGAGGGCGCTTGCGCGCGACCTTGTGCGGGCAACTTGCGCGCCAGTGCCGGCGCAGACGACAGCGAGGGGGGGAAGAAAGGTGGACTTTTCGGGCCCTCCACGCCCCCCCTTTGGCACCTAAAGGGGCCCTGGCTGGCACCTCTTCTGCAGCCCTCGCTGCCCCCCCCATTTCGGGGATCTTCTGACCCGGCTCAATCCAGACCCGGGTCAGCAGGAAACCAAAAAAACTGCAATGCAGGAAAAGAAAAAAACTGCAACGCAGGTCTTCGCAAACCCCGGTCAGCCAATAGGCGCGGCCGCCTCGCGGCCACGAGCGGCTCGCTAACCCGGGTCAGCCAGAGGGGGTCTTCGCATGATCCTGCAGGATCCGGCGCCCTGGCTGACCACCGTTTGCATGGGCCCCCGTCTCAAGACTCCCGAAGCCCTCGCTGCCCCCCCATCGCCAGCCAAGCCGAGGCCCAGCCTCGTCGTCGAAGTCGGCGTTCCGGCGCCGCGCCGTTCTCCGGCCCTGGGGCCCTGACAGTGGATCTGGGGCGTCGGGGCCGCTGGGGCCGAGCACTGAGAGCAAAAGCCTAGCCGCCACCGTGCCAACTGGGACGCTGGCGTGGAAGAGTGCCAACGCCTGCCTTTAAGTGGCCACAGGTGAACCCCCACGATTACTGGGGGGGGTCGCTCCGCTCGGGAGCTCCCGAAATAAGTGAACCCCTTCAACCGAACTTCGACCCCATAAAAATCGTGGGGGTGGGTTTAGGGTTCGCATGTGGCCACCGATGTCTGGTACGGCGTTCGACTTCCTCGGTTGCTGCTGCCTCTACCAGGTACCGAGAGAACGGTCGCAGCCGAGGTGTCCAGTCAATTTTGGCGGACGCCCCGCAGCGGCGACCAACAGCAGCGTGTTGTGCATCAGGCGCGCAATGGGTCTTGCATTGCACCATGCCGCGAAAGGAACGGCCAGCTTGCCATCCTACACCCCCAGAACAAAGGTCCAGGAATCGACTGGGCGGGAGGCTCTCAATCACAGCATTGCGTGGCTGTCCGTACTCTATGTTTGGTCGTGGGATCTGTCCTCAAACTAGACGTCGAACGTCTTCACAACAGGGCGAAACGTGGAACGGCACCAGGACATCCGTAGATACGTGTTCTGCTACGCTTGCATTGTTTCCCTCGGCTCACAGAACGTATGTATGTTACGGAGCCATGTCCTTCATTCGGTACCGTGGCTTCCTGGGCCCCCACGTGTACGATACGGATAACGGGAGGGAGCGACAATGCTCGAGACCTTGGCGTGCTACGTGCCCAGACGAATCAGCAGTTGTTGGTGCCGTAGCTGTTTGTGCCACTGGAGATACCTCGATGCTTCGGGAGACACCGTGTCCCACTGGAGATCCGTTTCTCGACTGAGCTGGGAAGCAACTACTGGGGGTTGGGACAGAAGCGTGCTGGGCGGGGGGGGGGACGGACGGTTTGTTGTGTTGTGTCGGGTTGCGCGCTGCAGGGTGTGGGATTCTGCTATGCGTCGCCCATGACGTCTCCTTGTATTACTGGTGGGGAGCTTTGTGCGCCCCCCCACGTGCGCAGTCGGGCCCCCCGGGCCCACGAGCGGGGGTGCGGCCCCCTCGTGGACACCGGGCGCTGGGGCACCGCCGAATGCCCTCACGCCCTTCGACGTGCTGCTTCCATGTTCCCCCCGT